TGACGAGTAAAGGCCGCCATTTTTCAAGATGGCTGCCATGTGCTTCTTTAATATCTACATTTGTAGCATTATTAATGTCCTTTATAATTTTTTTACATTTAAAACATATTGATATAACAGTTTTACATATTGCACCTAAATTACTGTAAAATCGGCACTAAAATGGCCGCCATTTTGAAATGAGCGGCCATTTTTAAAAATCGGCTTTCGAGCAGAACTTCTACCCCCATAAGGTATGTGTACAAAATATGAACAAAATCGGGCCAACGGTATTTGAGTTATTGCCCGGACGGACGGACAGACGGACATACGGACGGATGTACGTACGGACGGACGGATGGAGGCGTTCCCTATATCCCTCCGAACTTCGTTCGATGGGATAATTAGTTTGTTTGGTAGTTTGAGCTTGGCGTGGCAACCTGACATTCACTGCTCAATCAGTCAGTCACGTCATGTAAGCTTACTCGCGGCGGGATATTGAAGATTAACTTTTTGAGAATCAGTTAATTGAGTAATAAGAATCTTATTCGATTAAATGCATGTCGATCAATTAATCGATGATCGATTAAAAATTCACACCACTACTAAGAACCACCCCTGAAAATTTGAAATTGATCCGTCACACAGTTAACCAGAAAACATGTAAACAAAACTTTATAGACAAGATTTGAGGACAGAAAGTCCAAAATGGCTGCCTCGACATTTATCCAGAATGCCAAAAAACTAATCAGATCTAGATTTTCATACTAGGAATCATCCCTGAAAATTTGAAATTGATCTACCAAACGGTTCACCTGAAAACGAGTAGACAAGACTTTACTGACAAGATTTTAGGATGGAAAAATCCAAAATGGCTGCCTTGACATTTACCCAGAATGCCCAAAAACTAATCAGATCTAGATTTTCATACTAGGAATCATCCCTGAAAATTTGAAATTGATCTACCAAACGGTTCACCTGAAAACGAGTAGACAAGACTTTACTGACAAGATTTTAGGATTGAAAAATCCAAAATGGGCGACAATAAAAGTGATTATGAGATTTTGCTGATTTCTTTTTACAAAATTATCACATATAACTACTGTTAACAATAACATAGGCTTTTACAACAAAGTACACCTGAAATTATTTATAAAGCTACTAAATAGTTAAAGTATGAAAACTGAAAAAACACCATTCAATATGATACAAAGTATTATCGCGCGCTAACTTTTCTTAAAACATTCAAAATGGCTGACATGACTGTGCTAACAGGTCCAAAACCTAATCAGATCTAGAATGAAGTGAGCTGAACAAGATATTAAAGTTTTAAAAGCAACTGTGAAACCGTTTTTCTTAAAGTTTGCAGACAAGGATTTTAGCATTTGACTTCAAAATGGCCGACAGGAAGTAGGTATCGAGCTAATTTTTTTTCATCCACATCTATATGCACTCATAAGTTATCCCTGAAAATTTGAAGGTGATATCTGTAGCGGTTTTGGAGAAAACTGCCGGACGTACGGACAGACAGACAGACAGACGGACGGACAGACGGACGCGCCTAAGCCGACAATATGGCCCCACACTATGTGGTGGGGACATAAAAAGTTTTGTTTTTTTTCAAATTATCTTGTTACCATTCCAAAGATCACTATAATATTGACGATGTGTAAAATTTTTTGAATTTTTTGATAACTTGTTAAAGAGAAACGTGTGTTCAAAAAGTTCACATATCAATACCAATCCTTTTATTATAGTAGAACCTGTTTTATTCATCCAACTAGAAGTGTTAGGATTAGTATGGGTTCGCATCGCTAGGTTTTTGCATTCACGATAAAGATGACTTGAATCTGTAAACTCATTGAATCACTAGGGTGATATAAAAATCCAACCCTCCAATTTGGAATAACTTTCTCAATTTTGGTTGAATTTTCTTGATTTTTTTTCATCAAGATAACTGATTTCAAGCAAATTCAGCCAAAATAGTTTGGTAATATTAGTTTTACCCCAACTGTCTTGTCCGATCTTTGCCACTTTAATTAGCATAGATTTGAATTAATATGGCAAAACTTTCCCTACAGACAGACTGGCAGATGGGAGAGTCAGATAATTATCCATACTCTTCCTACCAAACTTCATTCATTGGGATAGTGAAAACATACATACAACATACAAACATAAACTATTTATGATCTTCACTTATAGATAGATGTCATCCTCTATATATGTGAATACAGAATATATTATTATTATTATCTCAAAGGTATTCAATATCCATTTTGGAAAATAAATCATTTGAACAGGTACAGAAATATTAAACTTGTGTGTGTGTTGTTCTCAGTAACTAATCATGAATCACTAACATTGTATAAGCTGTTCTCTTCTTGAGAATAGTTTGACAATGCAAGGAGGAATAGACATGAGATAAGGCACAGTTTATTGTCATTCAAGTTGTAGCCTCCTTGTCACTGCAATATAGAGTAGAACCAGTCATAGAACAAGAACCTTTGCAGGTGAACTTCCTTATATATTCAAGGACTTGGATTTTACTTGGAATTAACAAAAGAAAAATCAAAACTTATGCTGTTAGGAAACAAATAAAATGGATTGATTGCCAGGATGCAATGGATAACCTAGGAATGGATAATTGCCTTTGATTTAAAATAACTACAAAAGTTATAATAAAATGCCATTGAAAAATTGTGATGATTTTTAGGAAAAAATCTAATAGTAAACAGTAAACTAACCATGAAGCAGATCAACATTCAAATTAATTCATTGCACTATTTGTCTTCTTATGTTTTCAAGCACCATTGAAACATAAAAAGGTAAGTAAAAATATGTTATGGACACAAATGTTGCACTTACTCCAAATCATTTCCTTGTTATATAAAGTATATTCAAATTGCCTTCATTCACACCCAGTGATCAGAAAAAATAAATGGAAGGGAACAGAAATTCAACAAATCTGCTAGATTTAATTTTTTATGAGAAAGTTTACAAATAAGTCGAATGAATAGGTGCACCGTATGGTGTTTTTCTTAGCTGATATTCTTCTAAGGTGTGAGATCTATTAAACAATAGGGATTTGCCTCGCTAGCCATGGAATCAATTGTGTTTAATTCTGAAGGTTGATTGTTCTTTTGATTATTTCAAAAATTGTCGATAATATACCCATAAGTTATTCTCAAGATATCTCCAAGGTATGTAAGCTAGTATATGAGCAATAATAATGGGACATCATTGATTGTCGGCGAGATACCCATGGTATACTGCATCTTTAATAGTAGGTGCTAAGAAAAGTTACCTGTACATTTTTAAGCAAATTATATTTTATGACCAAAGAAGAGCTTAAAACCTGATTTTCTGCAGTAAAAGTTGGGCCATTGGGGAATTTCACAAGCATACTAATATATAGGTATTTAGCCTTATGCATGCTTTTTCCGCAATAAAAGTGGTGGCCATTTTGAATCTTTGTTACATATTTTGCCGACACTTGTGCACATTATTCATAACCTATAAAAAAGAATAGTACCATGGGTACTGGGCTCACATGGTGTTGCTCAAAAATGAATGATGCCTAAATAGCAGAAAATAAAAAAACTGATATAATTTTTTGCTGATTTTTTATAACAAAATTATTTCAGACAACTACTCTTCATCGACATGGCTTTTTTACAATGCAGGACACCTAAAATTATTTGTAAAGCTAGGAAATGGGCCAAAAGTGAATTTCGCGATATAAAAATGGTGACCATTTTGAAAATAAGCAAGTTTTTCAACCAGGAGGCATAGGGGAGTTATCTGTAGTAATGTTAAATAAAAATAACTTAAAATAGGAATCCTATCGACAGAGGTTTTAAGGCAAATGGTCTAAAAGTTGATTTTGCGAGACAGATGGACAAATCAATAATAACTAACTAAAATAGCTGAAAATAAAAAAAACTGATATAATTTTTTGCCAATTTTTTTTCATAAAATTATTTGATACAACTACTCTTTGCAGTGACATGGCTTTTTACAATGCAGGACACCTGAAATTATTTGTAAACCTAGGAAATGGGCAAAAAGTGAATTTCGCGAGACAAAAATGGCGACCATTTTGAAAATAGGCGAGCTTTTGAACCAGGAGTCATAGGGGAGTTTTCTGTATTGATGTTGAACAGAAATAACTTCAAACAGGAATCCTATCGACAGAGGTTTCAAAACGTGCAACTGTTGTTGACGGAAAATTGGATTTCGCGAGTCAGATGGACAAATCAATGTTAACTAAAATGCCTGAAAATAAAAAAAAATGGATATAATTTTTTGCTGATTTTTTGTAACAAAATTATTTCATATATCTACTCTTTACATTGACATGGATTTTTACAATGTAGGACACCTGAAATTATTTGTGAAGCTAGGAAATGGGTCAAAAGTGAGTTTCGCGAGACAAAAAGGCGCCCATTTTGAAAATAGGCGAGCTTTTGAACCAGGAGTCATAGGGAGTTTTCTGTATTGATGTTGAACAGAAATAATTTAAAACAGGAACCCTATCAACAGAGGTTTTAAAACGTGCCACTATTGTTGACGGACGGACGGACAGACAGACGGACAAGTGAGTGATTGCAAAAGCTCAACATGTGAGCTAAAAACACAAAACACACAAAAATATTAAGAAAATCCAACCAAAATTGAGAAAGTTATTCCAAATTAGAGGGTTGGGTTTTTATATCACCCTTATGATATAATGAGTTGTACAAAATGCATGAATGCAATAAATATTTTAGTTTCTTATTTCAGGTTTGAGAATGTTGCCTCAAAATAGTACTACTAGTGTGTTATCAATGATTAACACTACAAGTGCAGTGTTTGATGTGACAAGTCCTAGCCTTCACATGACATATTCCACACTTCCTACGACAGGCACTATACCTGATAGTACTCTACCTCAACTGACAACAAGTGTTTTTAATAACACATCTACCACAGAACATGGATCAAACAATCCCAACACAATTGCTTATGGATTCTACATATTTTTCTTTGCCATTCTGATTTTATTTGGATCTTTAGCAAACTTTTTCATCATAATGGTGATCATTTGTGACAGGACATTCCACAAGGCTGCCAACTATTATGTGATGAATGTATGTTTTGCAGATCTGATAATCTGTGCTGTAATAGGCCCATATAACTTATATACAATTATTGAAAATCGTGAAATAGCTGGATGTGAAATTATGGGTACTTTAACAAATTTAACATTGATTACATCAATTACGAGCCTGACTGCTGTTGCAGTTAACCGCTATTACTTTATCAAGCTACCCCTAGCCAGGTACTCAGCACTATACAAACACTATAAACTGGCAGCATCAATCATACTTATATGGTTGATCAGTGTAGTCCTTACATTGCCACTATCACTGACACAAACCCGGGGTGGATTTGATGAATCACTTGGAATCTGTGTGGCTTTGTTACCCGACAACACAGTATTTACATACTTTTACCAGCTGTCAATTGTAACTGTCACTGGTTTACCAGCTATCATTATAATGCTCTTCTGCTATTACAAAATATATAAGATTTTTAAGCAAAGCATTGAAACTGTTTCTCACACACAAACAAGACAAAACAACAGTACAAAGGATAAGTACAAACTCATCAGAAATCTTTTCATCATTACGATACTTTTTACAATATGTTGGGTCCCAGAGTTTATCACCACAGTTCTGGATTTTAGAATGGATTTCCCAGCACTTGTATTTCAGATAACTGGCATCTTAGCACAGAGTAACTCAATCATAAACCCCTTTACCTATGTGCTGTTGAATAAGAAGTTCTTCAATGTGCTAGTTAAAATATTGACATGCAACCGAAAATGTTGTTTCAAGACAGTGAGGCCACCTATTGGTGGTACAACTAAGTTAGATGATAGCCCAACAGCCACAATTCAGAATGTATCTGCTTAAAATAAAGTAAATGGAAATGGAAATTATGATGACATTTACTGGACTTAAGATGTGAAGAAATATCACAGAATTAATTGAATTTCTATAAATTAGCTCTTGAATATAGATACCACCTAGATGAGAGCTACAAGGACTTTACTATAAATCAACATTGATGCCAGAAACTTCAGATGGGAAACTTCAAGCAGGCTCAAAGTCAGAAGCATTTGTTCAGTTAAGTAATTATTCAAGTAGAAGTGGAATGCAAATATTGTAAATGATCATTCAATGTCTATGTCAATGAAACAATTTGTTCACATAGGGGTTTATTGTATAACATTGCCTCAACAGGGCAATTTAATTTCCCAATATGCGTAAATTTGCTATTCTATAAAAATCTATAATAGAATCCTTTCAAGGTATTACATCTCCAGTTTTATAACAGAATTTCATTTTTGATTATGTTGAGTCTTTTGATTTTGAAATAAAATTAGTTAGGTCATTTCTCTGCATCGTCACGCTTATTCTACTCAACTTCTCTTTATGTGAATGATGTATCTGTATATATCATGGAAAAGTTATGTAAAAAGTGCTAATGTGTTTTTTACCTCTAAAGAGGATGCACCATTTTCAACAGCCTCATATTGAATCAGGAGAAGGTTCCTGCAGAAGTATCATCAATTTGACCATTGCATGGGGCAACTTATTTTAAAACTAAGCAGCTTTTTGCTTAAAACATTTGAGTTAAATTCTTGATATTTCTTTATAAATTGTCATGCTCCAGGTCATTCCTAAAAGGAGACATTCCCACCCTGTGTATTAGTGCGAACAATTAACAACAATTGATCATAATGTAATCATTATTAATGACGTTTACGGTTAATATGCTATGTTAATATGCTGATTTTTCTTAGGAAAACATCTTGAAGTTTTTTTTTCTGATTTTTATTGCATGAAAACATTATTCAACAAGGGGTCTAAGACATGGGGTCTTTGACCTATGACTGCTGACCTATACCGGCGATTACTAGAGTGCTGCTAACTCGATAAAAGGCTGGCGCTGGCTAGAATTGTCTAAGGTTCTAGCCAGGATAAAGATACCAGTTCTTCAACTCGACAATGGGAAGAACTGCTCTACCTTAGTGACTAATATGTCATGATATGACATCTAAAGATTCAATAAAAGATATATATATATATTGAAAGTCTAGTTTTGAAGATATCAATTTACGATCACCAAAATTTCAATACCCATCCCCTTTTCAGAAAGATGACATATTGAAAGATATGACTGTCTAAAATCACTTGCCATACTGCACATGGTCTTTTGAGCCAAATCCATCCACTGGTATTTATCAAAGTTATCAAAGATTATGTTTTTATGAAACATGGTTGCCATTTTGAAATTCAGCTGTCATCTTTAGATTTCTTCTTTAGCAGAGCTCCTATTTCCCAAGGCATCAGCATATACAATTTTATCCAAATCCGTCAACTGGTACTTGAGTTACCAAGGATTACATGTTTAATGAAAAATGGCAGAGATTTCGATAAATATCAGCCATCTTGAAAATTTCTTCTCAAGCAGAGCTCCTTAATCTCTAGGCATCAGCATATAAATTTGAAGTAGATCCATCCAATGGTATTTGAGTTATCAAAGATTACCTTTTTTTATGAAAAATGGCAATTATTTTGAAATTTAGCTGACCCCTTTGAAATTTCTGCTGAAGCAAATCTCCTTTTTCCCTAGACATCAGCATATAAAGTTGGAACCAAATCCATCCACTGGTATTTGAGTTCTCAATGATTACGCTTTTTTATGAAAAGGCATCAGCATATAGAATTTGAACCAAATCCGTCAACTGGTATTTTAGTAATCAAAGGTTATGTTCTTTTACAAAAAATGGCGGCCATTTTGAAATTTAGCTGCCATCTTGAAGATCCCTTCTCGAGCAGAGCTCCTCCGTCCCTAGGGAAATGTCTTCTTGAGCATGGCTTCTTTGTACCCAGGCAACAGCATATAAAATTTGAACCAAATCCATCCACTAGTATTTGAGTCATCAAAGATTATATTTTTTCCGAAAAATGGCTGCCATTTTTAATTAAGCAGCCATATTGAAAATTCCTTCTTGAGCAGGGGCCACCCCCATAAGGCATAAGCCTATAAATTTGAATCAAATCTGTCAACCGGTATTTGAGTTATTGCCCGGACAGACAGACGGATGGCTTTCCTATATCCCCCTCGAACTTTGTTCGGTGGGATAAAAACACATGTTTCTGTACGTGAAATAAATTAAAGCAACCACTAGATTTTTGTTCAGTTCTTTTGTACAACTGAGATCTAAAGATTTACTATCTTGTTCTTTGTTTGCAATTATCTTTGCATTTACTAATAAGCTGTAAATTTTGTAGAGGATGTGTGAGATGTGTGATGTGTGTGATGTCTATCAATGTTTACTCCAGAAAATGGTATTAGTCTACCCTTGACAATAACTGATAACTGAATATCAGGCAGATCATTTCAGAAAATCTACATGTACACCTAAAATGTTTATGTTACTATATCCTATAATATATAGCATATGTTACAATATCACCTATATGAGGGTTTTGTACTGAGAGGTTTCGGAAATTTTGATACAAGATTTATTCTGAGGGAATACATAACATGAATGTGTATCTCAAACCTGTCCTCAACTCTATACATTATGGAATTAACCACAAGGGCATAAAGTGGAAAGGTTGAAATGATCTGGAATCAATCAAACAAGTTAAACACTTGTATGGAGCATGACCATGGACTGGTAGGCCTTCTTTGGCTGACTTGGCCAATGACTCCTGCACTTGGCCACAAGGTTCATGGTAAAGGTCAAGAAAATATAACCAATGTAATTAGATCTGTCATGATTCTCTCACCCTAAATGCTTCAAGGCAACAAACATTTCCCTACCTGTTCAAAACCTCCAAGTAATTCTGTAGTGTCCATTGAGCTGTTCATAGCTAGAGTGTGCAATTTGTTCCCTGTAAGAGAAGCTATCAGATGGACTAGGGATGTCTTTCCACTGGATACAGGACCAACCTAATATTGAAATAGAATGTGTTACCAGCAGTGAATAATGTTTCAAGAGTATGCAAGAAAAATTGTAAAACTTGAAACATTTCAAATTATTACACAAATGACCACATTCCTTTGTTAGAATAATACAATTAGTGAGGCGTGAATCGAGATATAACATGAGCACTCTGATTTGTATGAAATTGATTTGTATTTGTATCATTTCTTTGACATTTAAAGCCAAAAACATCATGAGTATAGTTCTATGTAAGTTCATCTCTCTGGTTAATATATCAGAAACAAGTCAAATTCTTTACTTCAGAGAATATTCTCTGAAGTAAAGAATTTGACTTGTTTCTGATCATGAATATAGATAAGGCTATAGTGCTGTCCCTAGGTCTGATTTCGTTACTCGGCTCGGAAAAAAGGTTTGTGGGTATCATTTTGTTCCAGACACTCTCTAGAATAAATTCATCTTGGGTGGAATAAAAATGTGTGGTAAACGAATTTGCTATGGGCAGTTAAAGAGGCGCCATCTATTCATTTTCAAACAGGGGGTAGGGGTATAAAATAATTTTTTAACACATTTTAATAGTAAAATGACATTGAAATACTAATAAAATCTTATCAAAAACATTATTTACAATCAGTATGAATTTTCTTGTGTGGATTAGGGTGAAAATAAGGGCATATCTTGAAATTCACTACAGGGGCGCCACCTATTTTTGTACTTCTACCACGTGTAATAATAATAATATTATTTTAGATTCGTTAAGGTACGAAATGTACTGAAAAAATTCATTCTGAAGGACCTATATATGTTAATACCACATACTTAAAATTAGATCAATAGCTTATGTACCGGCGGAGAAAAATATTATTGAAATTTAAAATTGTGGTATCATGCAGGATAGGGGTGACCATATCTCACATTATTAACTTCCAAAATATGGAGCATATGTATCTCAAATGTGCTCAAAATGTTGTATGTACTCTTGCTTTGTCATAATATTACTAATAAGAAGTAGAAAAATGATTGTACATTTTAGAAATTATTAATTCTCATTTTGGCTTCTGACGTCCCAGGGGTGACCATATCTCACCTTTATAACTTCCAAAATATGTAGCATATGTATCTTAAATGTGGTCAAAATGGTGTATGTACTCTTGCTTTGTCATAATATTGGTAATAAGAAGTAAGAAAATGATTGTACATTTAAAAAAATATTAATTCTCATTTTGGCTTCTGACGTCCCAGGGGTGACCATATCTCACCTTAATAACTTCCAAAATATTGAACATATGTATCTCAAATGTGCTCAAAATGGTGTATGTACTCTTGCTTTGTCATAATATTAGTAATAAGAAGTAGAAAAATGATTGTACATTTTAGAAATTATTAATTCTCATTTTGGCTTCTGACGTCCCAGGGGTGACCATATCTCACCTTAATAACTTCCAAAATATGGAGCATATGTATCTCAAATGTACTCAAAATGGTGTATGTACTCTTGCTTTGTCATAATATTATACTAATAAGATGTAGGAATATGATTATACATTTAAAATTTTTTAATTTTAGCTTCTTACGTTCCTGGGTAATCATATCGCAACATATAATAATAATAATAACTTCTTAGATATGTAACATATACGCCTCAAATATTCTCAGAAAAGTCTTGTCTTTCATATTACTAATGAAATATAGAAAAATGATTGCATTTTTTAAAAAATTTTAATTTTAGCCTCTGGTGTCCCACCTTGATAACTCTCACGATATGCAACTTATGCATCTCAAATGTGTGCTCAAAATGGTATAAATATAGTCTTGTTTTGTCATATTTATTAAGAATCATAAAATCAACAGTTCAGAATCAATGGATTTTGACTGTCTCCTCTACAGCTACATATAATTCAGGGCAAATAATATCTGCTTTCAAATATTTGCATCTGCTCCCCAAACACCCCTTACAGGTACAATGGATGAGATTATTCCCTTGCATAACTTGGACCAAACATCTTTTGTAATCCATACAGGAATCCTTTTAGCCTATCAATAGTGGGAGTACTTTACTCCATTTATGAAGTAATGGCAAATGTTGATAAGGTGTTAATATGTTATCCTGTGGCCTGCAATATATGCACCTTGGATCATACACTGAATTAAGGGATTTTGAGTACGTAAAATACGGGAAAAGGAGCTCTTTGTAATGATAAATCTTTCTAGCCACATTCTCTAGTTTTCATGTTTGTCATACAACATACATTGATTATATTGAAATATTAATTTATGATTGTGATGTCCCGCACTTCTAGGGTCCCAGAGAAGAGCTTAGCTTTTGGAACACTTGCATTACTCTTGGCATGATAGGCCATACAGTGAATACAATTGTTGAGATGGGGCAAGAACAATATAGCACATTCGACAAAAGGCAACTTGAAAACCTAACAGTACCATTTGATAGAACCATATCCAGGAACAAAGTTATTCAGTTTATTAGGCCTCCAAAACCTCCATTCATAACAGATTATGGAAAACTATAGTTCCTCCATTAAATTAAATTTTGAATGACCATGCCAAAAATTAGATCATTAACATGCTAAAACCCAACAGTGAAAATATGCAGAACATGAACATAAATGATTGTGCAAATTAAGTAATATTTCTTCCCCACATATAAAACATAGAAATGGAACAAGGGAGAAGGTATATCATACTAATTCTCTTGTAAATTTCCTAAGATGTGCCAAGAACAAGAGTGATCTGTTTTCCTTCCAGACATCAAAACTTTATGCTAAAAAAACTGAAAGTGTCAATTTGGATTGCATACTGAAAGAGGAAATCTTATCAGTATCATTCTACCTTCCCATGATATTATTGCAGAATATGGCCATGGCAAAACTTTAGCCCTTTCCTTATGCAATAATTGCATGTGATGCCATATCTGCATTCTAATACTGTTCTAAATCATCCGATTTCCGATCTGGATTTCTTCTGATACATGTACCATAGAATGAGAGACATTGCAGTTATAAAGTCATTTGTAATTCTGATATATGACAAAACATGCAAACTAGAGAATGTCAATCGGGATTAGAAGCAACTTATCGCCCTTGTAATTTAGCAGTGGGACAGTTTGGTGTATGTTTGGGCATAAATGCGCCTTTAAGGCCTAATTTTTCAGGATATTTTCAAAATTTCGGGTCAGATTTGGGGTTAAGGGGCCAATTTTGGTAAATGAGGCTAGGCTACTCACACTACTGATAGGCTACCAGTATACAAAATATGTTGCATCCAAGGCATGCAAAAGACTCATCGTCCATTGTTCCTGTAATATAAGGAGTGTTTGGGGAGAAGATGCAAATATTTGAAAGTAGATCTTATTGTCTCTGGGCTATATGTAGCTGCATCCTTCAGGGGAGACAGTCAAATCCATAAATTCTGAACTTCTGATTTTATGAATCTCAATAAATATGACAAAACAAGACTATATTTATACCATTTTGGGCACGCATTTGAGATGCATATGTTGCATACTGTGAGAGTTATATCAAGGTGAGATATAGTTGCCCCTGGGATGTCGGATTCGGAAGCTAAAATGAAAATTTCAATTAAAAAAAGGTGTAATAATTTTTTCTACATCTCATGAATAATATTATGACAAAGCAAGACCATATGCCCCATTTTTGGTATATTTGAGTTATATATGTTAAAATTAACATTTTTATTTAAATGTATAATCATATTCCTACATCTTATTAGTATAATATTATAACAAAGCAAGAGTACATACACCATTTTGAGTACATTTGAGATACATATGCTCCATATTTTGGAAGTTATTAAGGTGAGATATGGTCACCCCTGGGACGTCAGAAGCCAAAATGAGAATTAATATTTTTTTAAATGTACAATCATTTTCCTACATCTTATTAGTAATATTATGACGAGACAAGATTATATACACCATTTTGAGCACATTTGAGATACATATGCTCCATATTTTGGAAATTATTAAGGTGAGATATGGTCACCCCTGGAACGTCAGAAGCTAAAATGAAAATTAATATTTTTAAAAATGTACAATCATTTTCTTACATCTTATTAGTAATATTATGACTAGACAAGACTATAAACACCAGTTTGAGCAAATTTGAGATACATATGCTCCATATTTTGGAAGTTATTAAGGTGAGATATGGTCAACACTGGAACGTCAGAAGCTAAAATGAAAATTAATATTTTTTAAAATGTACAATCATTTTTCTACATATTATTAGTAATATTATGACAAGGCAAGACTATATACACCATTTTGAGCATATTTGAGATACATATGCTCCATATTTTGGAAGTTAATAATGTGAGATATGGTCACCCCTATCCTGAATGATGCCACAATTTTAAATTTCAATAATTTTTTTCTCCGAAGGTACAAAAGCTATTGATCTAATTTTAAGTATGTGGTATGAACATATATAGGTCCTTCAGAATGAATTTTTTCAGTTCATTTTGTACCTAAACGAATCTAAAATAAGTTATTACATGAGGTAGAAGTACGAAAATAGGTGGCGCCCCTGTAGTGAATTTCAAGATATGCCCTTTTTTTCACCCTAATACACACAAGAAAATTCATACTGATTGTAAATAATGTTTTTGATAAGATTTTATTAGTATTTCAATGTCATTTTACTATTAAAATGTGTTAAAAAATTATTTTATACCCCTACCCCCTGTTTGAAAATGAATAGATGGCGCCTCTTTAACTGCCCATAGCGAATTCGTTTACCACACATTTTTATTCCACCCAAGATGAATTTATTCTACAGAGTGTCTGGAACAAAATGATACCCACAAACCTTTTTTCCGAGCCGAGTAACGAAATCAGACCTAGGGACAGCACTACTATGGGTTGTATTACTTACTAAAATGGTCATCCAGTTCATTTCGATGCATTTCATTACTGCCTCTAGAGAATCTAAAGTGTGGTGTAGCACATGGAGGGGCTTTGATTGTAACTGTGGTGTGAAGCCTCCACTACAATAAGCCCTTTGCAAGAATGATTTCCCAACTTGAAGATAGGTGGCACTGAGATTAAAGTGGCCACTGGGTAGATACAATGGCATATCATCAGTGAATAGCTCTCGGTAAATGTCAAATACCTAAAATGAGAAAAAGAGATTATCCTTTACGAGGTTCATTATATTGGGATTATCCCAAGGCCAATATAAAATATCTGCCTGAGGGCCATAGGGATAATCTGTTTATCCCATACAAGTCTTGTTCATCTGATTCACATTGTTCAATTGACCCGTTTAGTTCAGGAAAATTTCAACCGTAGGAAATATTTTAGAATATTCATGTCCAGTTTTGTTTTCTTGGCAGTAGTAGGAATTTCCTGTTCTTTTAATTATTCATCCACATTATATTGTAAAAAATCATCAAACAGATCTTAATTCTCTGCATTTTTTGCTACTGCTATGTAAACGGTGCAAAAATGCATCAAAAATGCGAATTGCAATTATGACATAGCGGGCAGATGTACTATATTTACAAACCTGCTTTATGTACCTGATACATGTCCAAATATGGGATAAAAATATTTATCCCATACTTGGATGTGTTACAGGTACATAAAGCCAGTTTGTAAAAACTTACATTTTCATCAGCGGGCAGATATAGCTTTACGTCCCGCTACGTCATAATCGTCGTTCGCATAATAACTGTAAATGACAACGGAGAAAAACGCAGACAATTGCGATCTGTTTGAGGGTTTAAAGAAGGGAATGAGCATATGTTTCCCTGTTAATAATTAAAGATTCGAAAAAATAAATGTGAATGAATATCTGAAAAAACAGGTAAATCCGGCCATGCCCAAGAAAACAACACTGGACATAGATACATGTATTCTAAAATAATTCCACGGTTGGTTGGAAATTTTCTGAACTGTGGCCAATTGAACAAAGTGAACCAAATGACCATGATTGGTATTGGATAAACAGATCATCCTATAGTCGGTTTAGAATATTGGGATTATCCAATGGCCAATATAGTATATCTACCCTCAGGACCTATGGTCCTCGGGCAGATATATTATATTTGCCTCAGGATAATCCCAATATCCTGAACCTCATATAGGAGAATCTCTATATACCCATCTACATGAATATATATTTCTTCTCTATTCATAATATACTAATACATATGTATGGGTTTACCATGATTCAATTTATCTTTCTTTTTACCTGTATATCTTTGCTAATGATTTGATACACAATGACTCATCTTTCAAATGAAATGAACATAATACTACCAATACATTGAGTCATTGACTATATATTTGAAATACTTTGCCCAGGTGTTCATAAATGCATAATAGAATGGAATAATATAATAATATAGAAAGAAATAATACAACAAACACTGAACAAAAAACATGTTATGCCATATTTCAACATTAATACGTTTTGTGATACAACCTAAAAAATGATAATGAATATATGAGAATCTAGAATACTATCTTTGATACAAGTCAAATGAGTTGAATATTTTGATATGTTGCATATCATGGGATCCCTATGTATGTACATGTATATGATTTTACAGTATAATCTCATTTAACTTGGTGTGTTTTGCTTGAACACACAAAAAGCCTACCCGATCTTTGTCTTTCTGTTCCCTTAGTCTGCTTGCATATATTAGATACACATAGACACCTGGGTTCCATTCTCCTCTAACCTGAAATGTTTCATAAAAGATACACATAGACACCTGAGTTCCATTCTCCTCTGACATGAAATGTTTCATATAAGATACACATAGACACCTGAGTTCCATTCTTCTCTAACCTGAAATGTTTCATATAAGATACACATAGACAACTGAGTTCCATTCTCCTCTGACATGAAATGTTTCATACAAGATACACATAGACACCTGAGTTCCATTCTCCTCTGACATGAAATGTTTCATACAAGATACACATAGACACCTGAGTTCCATTCTTCTCTGACATGAAATGTTTCATACAAGATACACATAGACACCCGAGTTCCATTCTCCTCTGACATGAAATGTTTCATACAAGATACACATAGACACCCGAGTTCCATTCTCCTCTGACATGAAATGTTTCATATAAGATACGAATAGACACCTGAGTTCCATTCTCCTCTGACATGAAATGTTTCATATAAGTTACACATAGACACCTGAGTTCCATTCTTCTCTGACATGAAATGTTTCATACAAGATACACATAGACACCTGAGTTCCATTCTCCTCTGACATGAAATGTTTCATATAAGTTACACATAGACACCTGGGTTCCATTCTCCCTTGACCTGCAATGTTTCATCAGTGAGACTTTAATATTTTTGAGTCATTTTCCTTATTGTTTCAAAACTATTTGATTTGCTTGTATTTTTCAGGAATTTACTTTGCTCAAGTTTGATACATTGTGAAAATAATCACATTCTACTTGCAGCTTAAAAAAGATTTGGCCAAATTTTCAAAAAAAAACTAGCATGACACACTTAGTGCTACACCATCTACCTAAGTATACAATATATTATGTAAGCATTTTTACCTGGTCATGTATAATAAGGTCACACCACCTGAAGAGATCTCTGAGATTAAACTCCCAGGGACTACCCCTCCTCCCCCACAGCTTCAACTCCGTCGTCTCCTGGTACACCTACATGTAGAAATAATAACTTCATTTCTTGCCACTCTAAAATCTATCTGCCAACATATACATGTATTTCTCCATTTCTCTCATGCTAAAATGAACTAATCTTCAATTCATTTGGTTTCTTAATTCATTGTTAATTCTCCATTGGTTCCACTCCACTCACTCTCATATTAGATTTCTTAATAACTAAGAAGAAGAGGTAACATACATACCTGCATATTGAATGTTATCATCTTTTCCAAGCATTCAGATGGAATTGTTGGATACATTGTGAGTCCAATGAATAGGAGGTCATGCTTCATCAAAGGTTCAACATAAACCTGCACAAAAAGTTATGACTGTAAAGCCCTATATAATGTTTTCACTGGGATCTAGGCAATAGAAAATTTGGGGCCAGATATTCTATCTATTATTCAATATGGTCTGTACATTAATTAGTGAAAGATTAAAGTAATGCAATAGTCCTTTTTGAAAAGTTGATTATTATATCCCATGATTGCTTCAATAACAAATACATATGTTCATGTTAAAAACTGGGTTACGAAATATACTACTGATCCTAAAGTTTACCTGTGTAAACCTGTTTAGGAAAGATTTTGGTAGGCCCTTTCTGCCACCACCCTGGTTCAATGGATTCTGGCAAGCAAATATCTTGGTTTTCTCATGCTGGATTTTGAAGCTTCTCCCAAGTTCTGGGATGTACAACTCAGCCCTGTGATCCAAGCATGCATTGAGGCCCTCTAGTACTGACTGAGAGGCTAGGTTCAGCTCATCAAGGACAATCCAATGGCCAGATTTCAGAGCCTGAAGTAGGGGACCATCTCGCCATGAAAACTGGCCACCCTCACCACCCTCTACTGGCAGATCTGATCCAAACAAGTCACTCACATCCTGGAGATAGGAAATATATCAGTTAGAAAAGTATTCTGAAAATCATGTTTAAACACAAATGGATGGGGGAGGGTGAGATTAGCAAACAGAAACAAGGCATGGAGGGAACACTGTATATCTTAAAACATTTTATCATCATTCTTAAATCTTGTCTCGTATCTTATTATTTAAAGTAGCAGCACTTACAGTTTGTTCAGAAAGGTTAATCCTAACAAGACCCTGATTGGTTGCCTTAGCTAGTGCAGAAACCAGGCTTGTTTTGCCTACCCCAGGAGAGCCTTCCAGAAGAATGGCCCTTGGTAGCTGTAGGCCACGCAGAATCCTCTGTGCATTCAGTGAAGTTGTTGGAGCCTGGATGGCGTAGTTCAAACTTTCTTGGGCCATTAAACAACCTTTTTACGAAGAAAATACTTACTGACTGAGAGGCTCTATTCAACAGCTTCATAGCTTTCCTATCATGGGAAGGTATGATTCTTGTGACTACTTGCACATTTTTTGAATACTTGCACAATTTTCAGTTTTAAAAGGCAGTTCAATTTCAACATGAACAATTTCATTCAAGCGCAATCATAAGAAAAGTCATCCAAGGTTTATGTACAATTCTATTGAATGTATGAGTAGCATATTACATGTATAATGGATTAAAATTTTAGGGTTATTTAGAATGAGAAGTACAGGTATTTATTAGAATCAAAGTAATAAACATTGTATTGCACATTAAATGATTATCACCTTTTCCAACATAAAATGGTTCAATTCCAAACCTATGTTCAGTAGACACAAGTGTGTGGCTGATATCTGCAGCAGTGGACACCAATATTTTACAATGGTCAGTATAGTTGTTGCCAGTTATGAGTGCTAGTTGGTCAGCAATGAACTTCAAACAGACTTCTCTGCCATGCTGGCTGGACTCAATGGTACTAGAACCTGCATGAATAATACAATTATAGTCACAACATAAGTTCTTCACATAACAACACCCATGTCCAATAGGTCAATATAGCACATACATTTCACAACAAAAATGCTGAAATCTTTTTTATAGTAGCTATGGAAATGTACTATTCTATTGCATTTCAGTGCATGTATTTGTATGTTATGATCTATTACCTGACCCTAGTGCATCAAGAAAGACTAGACACTCCCATGTATGTATGCTAGGGTTTGTTCTACTGGAGACACACTTGCATTTATTTCTAGAGTGTGAGCGAAGAAAAGGTAACACAAAAAATGTTAATAACCCAGTCATTCAGCATGGGTTTGAGGTAACCTTATTGGCACAATTAAACCCTTTTCTTTCATTCCACTAAAGTTCATTGGTCTTATCAAAATGGTCACGATTTTATGGCCATTTTACATAACCCGCTCATAATGCCAGTCTCATCTCTGGAGGCAAACTTGAACGCATCGGGTGAAGTTATTCTGATGACACGCTCACAGCATCTTGTGAAGTGGCTCTCATCTTTTTGGAGTTGTCAAGTTTTGAGCAGTCTAGAGCGCTGAGCATGCTCTGCTAGGCGCTGGTGCCATAACCATGAGGTCAAGAATTTGAGATGCATAAGTTCCCTGTTTTATTCATATATGAATCACTGTCTGAGCTTTCAGTTGCAGATGTAAAAATAACCCCTCTAGTGTGTGAATGTATGTAGTGATATTTTATATATGATGTAATTGTTTTATACATGTATTTATATAACCCATGACATTAACATTTGTTTGGGTTACCTTTTTATGGCTCACCATGTATATTATGATCTATTACCTGACCCTAGTGCATCAAGGAAGACTAGGCAGGCCCCATGTATGTATGCTAGGGCTGGTTCTAATAGAGACACCTTTTCACTGGCCTCCATATCCATGGCATCACCATCAATTGTCTTAGAACATGTATTGATAAATGCGACCCAGGACAGAATATCTCGTATACTGATAGTGCTCCTGAAAACATGCAATCATTTCATGAGAAAATCTGGAAGAAGTGGAATCAGGCAGGAAGAAATGCGCATTTATCAGAAATGAACTCATGTACTGGTAACTCAATTTTAATGTTCATGATTGGACTCTTAACGCAATCATTATGATGTATTGCATAATGACCCAAGTCACACATATTTTTCAACATCTTTTGTAATGTGAGCAAGGACAATCATTTGTCATTATGGTCATTTCATGGAAATAGTAGTTGAGTTATATTGTCTCCCTTTAGCAAAATCTACAATGATTACATGCCATAAAAATTCCTTTTTGAATCAAAGTCCAATGCCCATAAGGGTAGCTTATAAAATTTGGACCAGATCAATTAATCATTTGAATTATGATAAATTATATATCTCTTCTGAGTAATCCTCTTAGCATTTGAACAAACAGATGGACAGACAGATGGAAGGAAAGATGGACAGCTTCTCTCTATCCAAACTTTGTTCGTTTGGATAAAAATATATAAAATCTACCTTTTCCCAATTTCATTGTTACTGAACCATTCCAGAAATTCAATGATAGCTTTTCCTATGCCACTGGTGTCATCTTGCTGGTTGCAGAGATAAATGCCAGACTTCAGGTTGTGTTCAATGATCTCTATCAGGTCATCCTTGCTGTTGCTCTGTGGACACCATATCTCTGTGAAACGGTTTCTCAGTGCCGGAGATAGCTAAATAATTTGTAGAAAGATTTCTTTAGTAATTATGAGAGAATGGCATAGACATGTACTTATTTGTCTATTGAACTTCATTCATTGGGATAATTGTACTTTAAAGTTGGTAAATCCTTACTTCTTTTTTCCCATAATCTCCTCCAGGATTCATGGTTGCTAGGAAACGGAATGTTTCCGAAGCAACTATTTGTTCAACCTCATTTTCCCGCCCATCACCTCCACCTTTTTCAGCCAATAAGAGAGTGCGTTCTGGTTCTAAGACACTGTTCAGTCTTTCCAGCACTGAATCGTCAGCCAATGAGATTTCATCAATGAGAAACAGAGTTCCATCCTTCATTGAAGTAACCAATGGACCATCAACCCATTCAAACAACTTCTGAGGCTCATCCTGCAAATATTAACAGCCATGAACAAGTAGATGCCTATAAAAGGATTATCTTGTTATCAAGGTATGCAACAGAAACTGTACAAGGACACAAATGTGTAGGATATGTCCCCACCAATGGATGATTCTATACAGATATCACTTTGACTGAATAAATATTTAATGACGTAAATCAAGATTATTTCTACTCGCATCTTGTCTATTGTCATAAGAAAGGGAAATATGTTTCTAAGTAGTCATGCGTCTGCCATATGTGTGTACCTCAGAATTATTCCTGAAAATTTGAAAGTTTTGAAAAAATGTCATATATGTACAAACAGTAAGATGGATGGATGGACAGATACCTAGGTTAACAATATGTGGCACATATTTGCTCCCTTTACATTTAATACAGTCAAACCTATCCCAACACCTTCCAATCTGAACACTTTTTCTGGTCCCATTTATTCTTCCCATTGACTCCCATGTTAAAAAAATCTTGGAATATGAACACTTCTTAATTCTAAAAGTGAACAATCAAATTTGAAAAATTACGTTGTCTAATCTGAACACTTTTCACAAAATATCACATATTTCTCACAAAATTTTCCAAATATTTCCAATTTAACACTTATTTGTTATATCAAACTTTTGAAAAATAAATCAAATGGTTTCAATCATAATGGGTCTTTCTAGCATGGGTGAATTTATTTGAATCGGATTTTGGAATGCCATAAAGCTGTTTCAATAGATATTAATATTCATTGAGAATGCATTTAAATCTCTTCAAAATCCTACCCTTTGCATTTGTTCAACTTCACTTCTTAAAAGAGAGCTTCATCTTCACTCTTGCAGTTTACAATAATTCTCTGATCTCACTGAGCCAATCAGAGTTCGTCATCAAAATATGAATGACTTTCTATATGGTCATTTCCTCTGACATCACCGCATAGTTAATGAGCATATATTTAGCATGTGTTCCTTTAACTTTGCTGATTGGTTAAGAAAGGGTCAGTGTGGTAGATTTGGAACGATTTATTACCCGGGCTGTCACAGGCACCAATATTTGGGGCGGGGCTGCTAAACTGTAATATAGTCTATGCTAGGCAGAGGGTAGTTTATAACTAGACTCTGCACGCAGGGTATCAAAATCCAGAAGCTTGCAGATGCAAAAACCTCAAAATCAGAACACCTCCAAGTCCAAATGCTTTTATCCGGTTCCAATGGCATTAGGATTAGACAGGTTTTATTGTTAGTACCTCAACTGAAATACTCGATTCTGATTGGTTGATTAGCAGTCAACAATATGCACTGTTGACCGCTACTAGATACTGTTGACCGCTACTTTTGAAAAAAGTTCCATGACGTCATAATATTGTAAACGTTGATGAAAGTGATTTTTTGAGTTTACTAGACGACAAGAATGGCAAAAATGCAAATAGAAACGTAAAATCAACATTAATTTACTAATGACTCTACCGTGATGTGCCGAATATAGAGAGTTTAGCTACCACTATCTTCAGAATTTCTAAAAAAAATATTGCTGACGTGGTTCGAAGAAAAGATTATGAAATGAAGCCATGCCGATTGATGATTGCCGTCTATATGATTGTGTATTACTAGTTTCTTCGGACTAACAAAACAATTGTAGACCTCTCCATTCGGTCAACCGTCAAAATCGTATACCTCGACTGTAAACCTTGAAACTACTGTTGACCTCGACCTTCGGTCTCTGTCAACAGTAGTTTCTCAGTTTACAGTCTCGGTATACAATTTTGCCGGTTGACCTCTGGAGAGGTTAACAATTGTATACTGTAGTCAATAGTTAGTATTGTATATTAAAACAATTCAACATGATTTTCTTCTTCATTTATTTAGCTTCAAACAGGCACATAATCAGCCATCAATTTCCTTGCAATAATGTTGAAATACACAATTTCTAAACACATTCATGACATCAATTTATTTCAATCTAATTTGCAAT